AGTAACCTTAATAATATACATAATAGCATGATGGTAGGCAAACATATTGAAACTTCATCTGGAACCAACTACCCTCTAAACTTAAATGCTTTTACCCATTAGCCAAAAATCGAACTTTCCATTATTCAAAGTGAGAATTCTAGAGGATGGTTAAGAAAATGTCAAAAGTATTTTATCATTTTTGGAGTGTCAGATCATCAAAAAATGAAGATAGCTGTTGTATGTATTTAGCTGGTAAAGTAAAAATCTAGTTTGATGGGTACTTAATGTAAAACCCAAGATTTACATGGCATAAATTTTCTAATGATCTCTATCATAAATTTTATGACAAGACCTGTTTGAATGTGATTGATGAATTTACAAGCTGACTTAAAAGAGCACAGTGAAAGAATATCAAGAGAAATTTGAAGAGCTTAGGCCATTTAAGCTTCAAAATAACCCTCATTTGGATGAGTTATATTTTGTATCTAGTTTTATAAGTGGCCTAAAAGAAGATTTCAAACCAAGAGTTAAGGCTAGTGAGCCTTGGACTTTGGTAGCAACCTATAGGCAAGCTAAGTTACACCAGCTAACCTTTGAAGTTAAATCTAAAAGAAATAGACCACCTACTAAACCCAATTCCACCAATAACACCTATACTCCTTTCAAGAACCCTTATAACCCCTAGTCCCAACCACAAAAAGTCATTCCCAATATAACACAGAAGCAAACTCTCCTGAAGCGAAGAAGATTGCAGAACCTATGCTTTAAATGTGGTGAAAAATTCTTTCCTGGCCACATTTGCAAAAACAAACAGTTGAACTCCATCATAGCAGAGGAATTTTTAGAAGAAAAGAAGGATGATGGGGAATCAGTTGACAATAGTTAAGATATCCACAATGAAGTAGACCAAGCTAATGGTAATTTAGAAATCTCTATTAATGCTCTTATACAAATTTGTCCCGGCTCAATTGTGACTTGGTTAGGGTTTTAGGATTAAGAAAAGAATAAAAGAGAATTGAAAAGACTAAGGAGAGAACAGAGAAGAATTGAGGAGACTAAGAACAAAATAGAGAAAGATTCAAAGAAGAAATTATCTTTTCCATTTATAAGAGATCAGTTACAGCCATAAATTATTTAAATAAAATTATTGTGAAACTATCATGCAAACTATAAAAAATACAAATTTGCAGAATATTACTAGCCACTAAATTAATAACTGACCCCAACCCCAATATATTAATAACTGATATCACCATCTTCTGTCATAGTCCTACTCATGCCACTATTGCTCTTTTCCATCAAGTTCATCACATTAGATAAATGTGTAATATATTTAATTTGTAGAGAACAAGATCACTAGTGAATTTGAAAAATATTATGCTTGTGTTTAAGTGAGCTGCAGGTGTGTGTGTTTAATCGAGCTTCCAAAAGCTTTGTTTCCATGTACAAAACGTAATTTTTGCTTAGTGTTTGTGAATATTCCTCAATGAAATTCCAGCCAGTACACCTTCAAAATGCGTTCTGTTTCAAGTCATTTTCAGTCTTCTGTTCTGTTTGTTTCTTATTCTCCCCTTTTTTTGTTCTATATAATTATTAATGTTGATAGTGATGTAACAGAAAAAATAGATTTTGCTAAAATAATTTGCACAAGCCAATTGTGGTTCAAATGATAAGATCAATGGGAAGGATTCTGTTTATTTTGTGAATGTCTTGAAAGCAAGAAACCCTGGTTATGCCTACCGGTATCCTGACCATTTTATAGCTTTGGCATGAAGGGCGGCTTGTACCTCGGCAAGATTTAGGTTGGAATTGACGTGAATTTCAGAGCAGGGATCAAAGTTCATGACCTAACAATTCAAGATCATCATAGAATTAGGTCAGTCCATGTCTTAAGGCGCATTTGCTTTGAAAAGCCTTTTGTTTCACATCTTGGCTTCTCTAATCATGAGTTATAAATAGCTCTCATCTATGGTCAATCCTTTTTATATTGCTTTTGTGATATAAATACAAGTTTGAATTTAAAAGAAAAGTGGTCTTTGACATTAAAACAAATGTCCAGTTGTCATGGAAGAATGGAGTCATCCCATTTATGTACTCTTTTTCTGAGCTTACAAGATATGTGTCAAAGAAAAAAAAATTAACAAACAGAAAAGCAAGTTGAGTAAGCCGGAGACAAATGAACAAGTGTAGGCGATTGACTCAAACACCCGCGTTATGTGAGGAATGCCTTCAAACAAACTATTATGGTGCCAAAAGAATGATTGAATCGCTTATTCCCCTTCTCCATCTATCTGATTCACCGAGAATCGTCAATGTTTCCTCCTCTCTAGGGAAGTTAAAGAATGTATTAAACGAAATTGATGCTGAAAACCTTACAAACAAAAGGTGGATGAGGTATTGAGTGAGTATATGAAAGATTTCAAGGAGGGTTCATTGGAATCCAAGGGCTGGCCTGATTTTATGTCAGCCTATGCACTCTTTAAAGCAGCCATGAATGCCTATACAAGGATCTTGGCCAAGAAGTATCCCAATTTTTGCATCAATTGTGTCTGCCCTAGCTTTGTCAAAATAGACATAAACTACAATAGTGGGATCTTAATTGTTGAAGAAGGTGCCAAGGGTCCTCTGAGATTAGCTTTGTTGTCTATCGGTGGTCCTTCTGGTCTCTTCTTTTTTTGAATCAAAGAGTTATATTTTTTATCGAAACTGCTTCATTTAAAACAAGTTTGGTGTTACTTTTAGATATTTTTTAAGATTAATTTGTATAGCTATTTTATATATTTTGTACTTTATACATATTTTCATATAATACCAAATGTAATGATTTAAAATCATTATTAATTTATAATATTATATAAAGTATATTAATTTAAGATCATTAATGATCACATCACTTTAATAAATTTATTATTACGGTAATTAAATCATCGTAATAATCTTAAAAATTATATCAAATATTAATAATTTTAAATTTACTTATTTACCACTTACTAAACTTTATTACTAGTAAAAACGTATTTAACTAGAAACATGCAAGGAAAAGCAGTAAAGGACAAAGCCTCGATTAGGTTAGTAATACAAAACAAGGCTGAGACTGATAGGCTATTGATTCGATATTTCCAACCTAGCTAATTGGGCAGACTGTAGTTGAATTTTGACCCAAAATAGTCATCTCAGTTCTCTCCTTAACTATGAGCCAATGAACGAAATTGCAACGCGGGAAAGGACAATTGATGTCCCTGTTGAAAACCCATTTGCAGCAGTGTAAAAATGTTGTTTTGTTCATAGTTTCAAAGAGATCACACTGGAAACCTAATTTGTGGGGGGGGGGGGGGGGGACATGTGCAAGTGGGTCACCTGGAATATTAAAAGGGAAGACTTTTAAGACTCCAGAAGTTGAATCTTATACAGTAGAGACCACTAAAGCCACATACAATAGCAGCTCACCTGGAATATTAACAGATGCATATTATAGTATATTTAAAACATTTGAGCATGTTGTACATGGTCGTTTATTAATTCTTGGTCACCGGAATTTAAAATAGGCATTTGGGTGAATATATGCATGTGACATGCCAGGGGCAGTTGACCCCAACACTCACTTTTCAACACTCAGCACACTCACAAAGCGACGTATACAAACACTGGATTTACATTTACTGTTAAACTTACAATCCAATACTTTCATTCTCAGACTAAAAGACACCGGTGATTTTTTTCCCTTGTCTAAAATACTGTTATGGCAATAATGGTTTTTCTGGAGAAATAGGCCTTTAAAAATATATTCTTGTCTATCTTTATTACTGTTAAAAAAAGAGTAGTATTTTTTTTCTTTTTTATTTTTTATTTTTGAAGAGAGGATTTTTTTCTTCATTGTTAAATTTATGATGAATTTAATATATACTCTTTCTCTCAAATTTTTAATAATATACAATATTACTCTTTAAATTTTGTGTTCCTCAAGCACTGTTCTTCCTTTACCCTCCCAATATTCTTCACAAGATCTTCAAACTTAGGATTAGCTGAAAGGATAAGATATATCTTCAAACTCCTGCACAATCAATAACAAAAGTCTTATGTTCTCTCAGTTAAGAAAAAAGATGAAGAAGATAGATCACAGTTTAAGCGCTCGTGGGTTACTAAAAGAGCTTTTGGGAAGAGAGATTTTGGAGAAAGTTGGGGAGAGTTACATTAAGGGGATGGCTCCAACCTTTGGAACTTTTCTCAGTGACGTGAGTCTTCAACTCTCCGTAGTTAAGTTTGAAAAATAGAAGTAAGAAAAACTACAGAAATAAACAACCCGTCATTATAAATTTTCTATTTCATGTGTTAAATGAGAGCTGCGCGGCTCAGGACAAGTATTGAAAAGCAGGGGCGCAGCCGGCTGCCCCTAGCATTCCTCCATGTACAAATACGTAAAGAAAGGAATATAAAAAATGGTCAAACAAGTTGGGCGAAAAAGAAACCAGAACAATATTGCTTTTATGTTGCTGGGGGCCGCACTTTATGCATGCGACAGAAGGGAATTTTGATAAGAAAATATAAAAAAGAGAAGACTGTTTTTGGTGACATAAAAGGGGGTTGAAACTTGAAAGCGAACTGCCCTAACGTAACGTTGTTTGTACCTTACACGGCATTGCTCCTCAGTCCCACTTCAACAGAAATCTGATTGTTCAGAGAATTTCAAAGATCAGATTGTTTGTTTAACTAAACTCAAATGCTCGGCCAACAATATATTTTTATTTAATTTAAAATTTTAAAAAATATTTAATTCAATCAGTGCTGTTGTAAATAATTTATGCATAGAAAAGTATTTATCAACAAAATAAACACCAATATCCATTGCTATTACAAGACAAAAATTCCCTATAATATAATTAGTACTATTAAGCACAGCTATGCCCTTTTTTAATTTTAGTTTCACATATACTACAAATTAACTTCAATTATTAGTTCTTTTATTGTGGAATAAAATTATAGTTGAGATGAGGAATCAATTAGGACAATGGGATTGAGACAATTGGATAATGGATGAAGAGGAAAGGAGATAGGGTCAGCTCTCAAATCATGGTTTCAACATTTTTGTGATTTTGTCTCTTCATTCACAGAGTAATTAAGGCAATTGGCAGGTGAATTCTCGCATCATCATTAGTCTCCATCGTCGGATATAAATTTTTTTGTTTTCTAAACATTCCAGCAAGTCTCCATGCAGACCTTGATCGGTTTATGACTAGTCTTCATTCATCTTTTTTATATTTATTTATTTATTTGCATCGGTAATTTTATTTCTAATGTCAATTTTTTGTTATCTAAAAAAAGGCCCAGTCCAGTCCAATGACAAGACCAGTAACGAAGAAATAAGCCTAACCTAAAAACCTTTGCCTTTCATACAATGACAAACCCAATTATCTTTGGGCCCCCAATTAGGCGACACTCCTTCCTCCCTAAGGCTGAAATACTCTCCTCCCTAGCCGAAAAAATCCATTTCCCTCTCCTTCCGTCTCTGCTTTTCTTTTCCTTCAAGGCTCCTCTCACATCGATTCTGGTCGGATCCCAATCCCTCTAAATCCATCTGATATGCCTTTGTCTCTGATATGTATCACGCTCTGGGCGCGCCCCGCCTAATATACCGTGCCCGCATCTCAAGGCTCGTTAAAACCGGCCTCATCGACCAAGCCATCAACCTGTTCGACCAAATGACCCAATCAGATTGCCGTGTCTTTGGCATTGATTATAACCGCTTCATTGGCGTTCTCCTGCGAAATTCCCGCTTCGACTTAGCTGAACACTACTACTTCCAAATGTTCCCTCAGGGTTTCTCTCTAACTCCGTTCACTTACTCTCGCTTTATCTCCGCTTTGTGCTCTGTCAAAAACTTTAATCTTATCGAGCTTCTGTTACATGACATGGATAAATTGAATTATGTTCCTGATATTTGGGCCTTTAATATTTACTTGAATCTTTTGTGTAAAGAGAAAAAGACAGAGTTAGCTTTAGAGGTTTTTCATAGCATGGTTAAGAAAGGGAGAGACCCAGATGTCGTAACATATACAATAATGATTGATGGAATGTGTAAAGCCGGGAAGTTTGGTAATGCTGTCGGTTTTTGGAAGGAAATGGTAGGGAAAGGTTTTCGTCCTGATAATAAAGCCTGTTGTGCGCTTGTTGTTGGGTTGTGTGAAGGTCGGAAGGTTGATTTAGCGTATGAGCTTGTTGTTGAGGTAATTAAGGGTGGAAATATCAAGTTTAGTACGTTGCTCTATAATGCGCTGATTAGTGGGTTTTGTAGAATTAGGAGGATCGATAAGGCACAGGCAATAAGGTTTTTATGATGAAAAATGGGTGTGAGCCGGATTTGGCTACATATAATGTATTGTTGAATTATTGTTGTAATGAGCTTATGTTAGAGGAGGCGGAGAAGTTGGTGAAGAAAATGGAGAGGAGTGGGATAGGACCTGATGTGTATAGCTATAACCAGATGATTAGGGGGCTTTGTAACGCTAATAGGCCAGATAAAGCATATTTGTTGATGGTGAACAAGATGGAGGCGAATGGGTTGATTGATGCTGTTTCTTATAATACCATTATCAAAGCATTTTGCAAGGGTGGTCTTATTGGAAAGGCTTACAAGCTGTTTGAGGAAATGGGTAGGAAGGGGATCGCACCTGATGTGGTGACATTCACAACTCTTATAACAGCTTTTCTGAATGAAGGTGATTCTGAGATAGCAAAAGCACTTCTTGATCGGATGTCAGGGATGGGTCTGTTGCCTGATCGTATTTTCTATACTACAATTATTGACCACCTGTGCAAGAGAGGGAAAGTTGAAATGGCTTGTAGTATTTTTGATAACATGATAATGCAGGGAGTTAACCCTGATGTCATTTCATACAATGCCCTCATAAACGGGTTTTGCAAGTCTAATAGAGCAATTGAAGCCATACGTCTATATGAGGAAATGCAGACTAGAGGATTCTCTCCAGATGAGATAACTTTTAAATTGATAATTGGAGGGCTAATACGGGAAAAGAAGCTCTCTAAGGCTTGCAAAGTATGGGATCAGATGATGGAGAAGGGTTTTACTCTTGATGGAGCTGTTTCTGAGACACTGATCAATGCTATCCATTCAATAGACTCTGCATGAATATGGTAGTATTTTGCATCTCAAATTCCATTATTTCCTTCTATGTGTATCTTTTGGGTGGTTTCTTCTTCAGCTGCTATGGAAGTACTTGATGATTGGCTCTAAGAGCAGCACATGGTGTTAATGATATTTTTTTGACACTACTAGTACAATGCAATGCCATCTTTCATCAATTCTGCTGGAGGCCGATTCCAATTCTACTATAACTTCATTTGCACACTTCCGTAAATTTAGAAACTAGCTATGGCTCACTCGAAATTGACTTAATATAAAGTAGCTAGAAGACTTTCAATTTTGTATTGCTGATAGCATTTTCAATTGACATCTAAGTCATGACGGTTTCAGTGGTATGATACATACAATGCAATTTATCATGTGGCATTATTATTATAATCCACCATTTTTCAACAGTTTGTTCCATTGCATGGTAATTTGCATCAATCTAATCCAGTGCCTGCACGTTGGCTTGAAGGTTTACTTAACCAATCTGTTTAAGGAGCAGCCTAATAATGATTATTGCATTTGTAGAATGAACTATTGTGTGTTTGGTTGGCAGAGTATTAATGCGAGGTGGATTATTTTGCAATTTTCGTTGCTCTTATGTTTTCTTAAGCAACTGATCTGCCTCATTTTTAACTATAAAATTTTGTGTATTGCCAGGTGAACTATTTAGCATTTGTGTTGAGTAGCCGTATGGGTGGATTGTGTGGTTAAAACTCTCCTATTGGTCCTCTGTTCAATTTTTGCTACTGTTTGGCCTTTCCTGCAGACTCTCACAAAAATAAATCTCAGGTTTGATCTGTTTACTTTCTTGAATATATTTATAGATGAATAATATACTAGGAGGCAAGTGTCTACTGGTTATATACAAATAAGAAGATTTCTGTGGTATGCAGCCTACCATTGGGGAGGGCCCTATATTTGAGAGATCATCAATAAATTTAAGTGTAAGAACATGGTTGTAGCATCAATATATGTGTCGACTATGGCCATTGTACAAATTTCTCTTTTTGATACTCTCCTCTATGGGTTCATTTAACCAGTCAATATCCTTCTGTGTACTTGTGCATTGCAGGTGAAACTCTACTATGCTATCCTTGAAATTGCATTGGATGCTTCCAAAAGCTGTGAGGTCAAAATTTTATGTTACATCTCTCCTAAGTTTATAAATACTTTCTTTGCATGATTTAGATATTTATTTGACATATTTATACTCCCCTTTCCCCCTTTTCCCATATTCTTAGCTCCTGTTGAAACTTGTGTTGGAACCTGTGTCTCACTGGCCAATTTACACATCAACCATTTGTTGCTTGTTTTGTGCCAATGGATAAGTGGAGCAGGCTTCATGTTGTATTGTAAGTTCTTTAACTTTATTTGACTGTTATCCTTTCTGAAAAGAAAGAATGATATGTTACATCTTATATCTTGTAATTATTCACACATACACATATATATATCCTTAGCTTAAGAAAGCATATGATAATCCTATTTCATGTTGGACATAAAACATCCTTTCAATGTTGAATATAGATTAAAAAAGGTCTTGCCTTCTTTTTCCCCTTTCCTCGATGTCAACTCATATAGAGCAACATGTCATAATCCAGGAAAAGACAAATGTGATCTTTTTTTTTGTTGATACATAGGAGGCCAAGGCCTAAGGGAAATTGGAGAAGGGGAATTTGCAAGTGCCGGGATCGAACCCCAACCTTATTGGAATCCACCTCGTAAGGAAGCTCGGTAAACCATTTAGGCTAAGCCTTAGGTTCAACCAAATGTGATAAAATATTTGTTATATCTATAATTGCAACAGGAGTGAAATGAGGTATCGAGAGCTGATCAGTAATCAAGTGTTACCAGGATTTCAGATTTTTCCCCCCTAGTTGAAATCAAGACATAACACAACCATATTATAATCCAACACTGAATTATCAAATGACTCTTCTATTGGACCTAAAGTTTTCACCATCTTTGTCCAGGTCTCAAAGAGGATAGTATAATAAAGGAACTGACTAGATATTTCAGTCAGATGCTGTCTGACAACCCACAAGTTTTTTAAGAGAATTGTGACAATTCATGGATCAAAGTTGCGTCTTCAATGCACTAAACATGTCGGAAAGGTTGTTCACTTGCAACATTTCCCACTGTTTTCAGCCAGTTGAGGGACTTTGAAGTTTTAGGACCAACTGCAGATTATGACACCATGTTATTTATTTCAAGAGCACTGGGCTCCGATTGAGCTAGAAAAAAGTTGATTTATTGTGCTATTTCTATCATCTAAATTGGACATTGTATATCCTTGTATATCACTCTGCTGAGCTTCACAAGTAAATGAATGCTTGATATTAATTAATTATGCTTTTCATATTGAAAAAACAGAAAGAAAAAAATGCAGATGCTTTGAAAAGACAAAAAAAGGTGAGAATTTAGAAGCCAGGATAGAGGGATCCATGAAGGAATGAGCTGCTAGGCGCTAGAGATGGAAGTGCAAATTGATGGTCAATATTAATCAAAGTCTCGAGTTTTAACTACGAGTTTTTGAAAGAACTGTGAAACTTAGAAATTTAAAAAAAAAAAAAAAAATCCACAGTTAGCACGTTTATAGTTCGTAAATTATAGCTTTTTTTTCTTTTCTTCTTTGGGATGAATTAGAAATTGAAAGATTTAGCAGGTTGTTTTTAGGTTCCAATAATGGAGCTGTCGCCATGAATATCCAATATAGCTAGCATAAAAGTAAATCTGAAAATCTAAAATTTCTTTCGATGTAACATGAATATGATATAAATATAAGATATAAATATAATATAATTTAAAATTTTAATAATAATTATATTTAAGTTTAATAAAATCAAAAAAATGTATTTTATATTTTTATATTGATATAAATTATAATATGTAATTTTTATATAAAATATGATATAAATGTATAAATTTTAATATTTTATATGATACATTAAGTCATTATGTTTACCATTACTCCCTTTGAGAAGGCAAAAACGGGGTAGAATCCATTACTCCCTCGTAGGCAAAAAAGGGAAAAAAAATAGAAATGATTAGTTAGCCGAGGCTACCCTACCTTAACATAGCATTTAGAAAAGGAATCACGAAAGATTATAGCATTTAGAAAAGGAATCACGAAAGATTACTTGCCTCCCTTACTCAGCTTATGTTTGATTCTTTTCCTTTTCATGAATCCTACTGCTACATGAAGTTCCTTGAAGTCATCATCTTTCACCTATTATCTAGCCTCATCAACTCCTCTTATTTCCTTTGTTCTACTTCATTTCCGGCCCTATCTTCACACCAGAATGGCTCATCAGCATGTTGAGACCAACCCACATTTTATTGATCCTGAAGAACTACCAACAGAGCAACGTCATTACCTACCTGCTGCTTTGTTGCCACGGCGTGATGACCAGCGTTACCTGCCACGTCCAGGGGTAATGACACCACAGATCCAGGGCAGGCATCCCCAAGAGCATCGCCCCCACTCTCATCTTTTCTCCCACGAGACCGTCGAACCAAAGCTCACACATGGTTTGCAGCAGCTTTCTGCATAATATTTTGGCTCCTCGTAATAATAGGAGGCTTAGTTGTTCTCATAGTCTATCTCGTCTTTCGACCACGTAGTCCACGTTTTGACGTTAATAGCGTCACCTTGAAGGCAGCGTATCTCGACATGGGTTACCTGCTCAATGCTGATATTAGCATGCTGGCTAACTTCACAAATCCAAACAAGAAGGTGAGCGTGGATTTCAGTTCCATGTACCTTGATCTTTACTTCGAGAACACCCTGATTGCTACTCAGTCAATAGAACCTTTCTCGGCGGCAAGAGGTCAGTCCATGTTTGCAAATATTCACATGGTAACAAGCCAGGTTAGGCTTTCAGTGAAAGATACTCTGCTGCTCCAAAGGCAGATCGAGAACAACCGAGTCATGTTTACTCTCAAGGGCTTGTTTCGTGCTCGATCCAATCTCGGAGGTTTCTTGAAATATTCGTATTGGTTGCACGGTCTTTGTAGCGTAATGGTGTCCAGCCCTCCAACTGGTGTCTTGAGAGATAAAAGATGCAGAACGAAACACTGAGGAATCGATTGTAATTCTTCATACTATTTTACTTTTGGTTCAAAACTCATTATAATCATATCAGATATTCATTTTGCTCTTGAAACAAAAACACTTTGAAGAAACCATTTCATATCTGTCAAAATTGATTTTGCTAATTTACGGAGAAATCATCACCATTGTTCCAGCTCTTTTCCTTATATGAATTCCGTTCCCCAACTCATGTAGAACTAAGACAGAACAGCCTTCTGGTTCTTTCTGATTCATCGACCAAAAACAATATAATATATGTAAACCTTCTGATTCTTGGACAGAAACTTCTACATCACATTTCCAGGGTAAAAGAATCAGAGGAGAAAGCCTTTCCTAACAATAGCTAATTTACAAAAGAAAAAAAAAATCCTACAGAAACACGAGAATCCTATTCCTTGTCGGCCTTTTACTCTCTATTAAGAGCCAAACAGAATTCATCACCAACCACATACCAGTGTTGCCTAATCCTGGACACATAGAACTTGAGCAAGCAATATTAGAATCAAAGTGTTGGAGGAAAACAAAAAAGAAAGAAAAATCTTAGAATCTCTAGCAATGATCTTTGGTGAAGAATGAATGCCTGAGGGCTTGCCGAGCTGTTAATCGACTGCAAGGATCAAATCTAAGAAGACCCTGCAACAGGTCAATCAGATCCCCTGCAGAGTGATCTACATGCTGCATCACCAGATTCTGCCAGAAGAAAATAAATACTTGGAATCAGAATGATGATAGCATACATACAGGTTCATGATAATCATCACAAGAATTTCTTATTACAGCAAGCAAGTCAACAACACACCTGAAGACGAGGCAACTTCAGAACAGCTTTAATGCTCTCCCTAGAGGTGGCACCCTCTGGCCAATCCAGTCTACCCTTTTTGACATACTTCTCAGCATGCCGGCTGGACAAATAAGTCAACAACAAAAGCAATATAACAAAAGATTTTGCAACACTATAAGAGTAGAAAAACACATTCCACAAGAGTTTACATACTCCACTCTTTTCAACATGTGATGGGGCAATGGACCCAAAACCCTCTCCATCATTGCCAGGTGCTCCAGGTTCTCATGTGTTTGAAACAAAGCTTCTCCCTGTAAACAACCATATTTTGTGCCATTTCTTACCATCTAGCATTTAAATTTCGCAATGATAGACTTTAAAACAATAAACATACTGAGCACAGTTCCACCAAGATGCAACCAACACTCCATATGTCACATGGGTAACTCCATCCTAATCCTGAAAAGAGTAATAAGCTCAAACAGTATGACTCACAGATGGATAACACAAAAATAGAGAAGAAAATGAGAACATTGGCATACCAAGAATAACCTCAGGTGCTCGATAGTGCCTCGTGGAGACAATGTAGTTGTGATCTTGATGTTCATAAGCTGTACTACCAAAATCAATTACCTTGATGGCACTTGATTTTGGCAACCTCCTGTAGCAAGTTCCCTCTATTGGTGAATGGGATGTAACCTGTTGCAATAGATTAAGAAAAGTATATAAACACACAAGAAGATCGTTAGGGATAAATATCACACACCTCTCATCCCTGGCAATGAGAAGCAGCAGATTGAAAAAGATGAAGATTGTGTTGTCGAACATAAAGAAGATCCACAAACACAAAATAGAAAATTTTCAAAAAGATTATAGAATATACCTTGTCAGGTATTTTCACATATTCTGAAGAAACAAAGAGTATATTCTCAGGCTTCAAGTCAGTATGAATAAGGCACAAATCATGCAAAACTGCATATTGTTATAAATAACCAAATAAGAGTCAGATATAAGCAATTATTACTATTTTAAAAAATAGCCTTAATCTATGTAGTGTGTATCTTACTTTGGGGGAATCAACATTTCAATATAAGTAATAAATACTAATAAAGCTACATGCAACTAAATGTATAAATAAATATATAATACAAAATGTTAAAATGGACAAACAGAAAGAGCCATTGTTTCCCCAGTGGTAAATGCTTCTCCATGCAACTCAAGAGAACTGTTGCCACCAACTTTGAAAAGAAAGGGAGGAATGGAAGGAGTAATATCTACACACATGCTACACATTCCAATAATTGTCTGCCAAGTTCCCAGACAAGGTCAACCGGAAAGGGGCAATAATTATTTTTTTGAAGAAAATCGTATAAGCTTGGTCCAAGCATCTCAAATACCTGTTGAGGACATTTAAATCCACGTACAAGTCTTAACTCCTAAAATATTCATAATGTTAGAAGAAAATTGTGAATCCGTAGTATACTTACAATGCAGATATGATTGCGATAGTCAAACCAGTTCCGTAATTTAACACAGCTGCAAAGAATAAATCCATTTAAAAACTGAGACAAAAGCAACATCAAAACCAAGCCGAAATTGAGATAATCATTTCAGAAATCACGCTCACCGGCTGCCGTTTCTGTCATATTTACCAAGCAATTGAAGCACCTCAAGTTCCATCATTGCTGCTTCCTGGTATTTCTTGATACTTCGAACAACCTTTATAGCAACCATCTCTTTAGTTTCCCTGTCCCAGCACTCCAGAACCTGACCAAAGGTGCCTGTAGAATAAAGGACGAATAGCCAGCAGAAGGATAACATGAATATAGGTCCCAACAAAAAATGGACCTCTATGAAGATGGAATACGATACAAAGTTAAAAACTAACCTTCACCAACTTTTCGGTAGATCTTGTCTGCAAAAAGAAGAGCAGAAAACCATAAGCTGTAAACAAAGGTTTGGTTTTGGGAATAGTAGTGCACATCAAGAGTGAAATTGAATACAAGATTCCAACTCATGCAACACCTATCTTCAAGGTAGAAGGTAAGAGAAAATTTTGGGTTTCTAAGAAATGGATAGATTGTGAGAGTAATACCATCAGGATGATAATTTAAAAAAAAAAAAATTACTTCAGGGAGGTGGAATGAAAGGAAGAATGGGAGGGAAAATATACTACAGTGAAAAAGAATACTAAATTAGCAAAGTTAAAAAATTTGTTTTTTCTCCAAATTTAAGAAGGTAGGTTCTAAATGAATTCAGCTACTCCAAAACTTTCTGATACAATGAAGTAAAAGATATTTAAACATACTTGAAAATAGGACTGAAAGACGATTTGAAATTTCATTTGCAAGATTGATCTTGAAAATCAATGCAATAAATAAACTTCTTGTAGAAAAAATCAATTACAGTGACAAAACAACAAAGAGAAAGACAATATTACAATGTATTCAGATATCATCCAGCAAAATCAATGCAATAAATAAACTTTATGTAGTAAAAATCAAGGACAGTGACAAAACAAAAAGAGAAAGACAATATTACAATTTATTCAGATATCATCTAGCCTGTTATAGTCTATCATTATGTATTCAAATGGAACATAATAAACTGTAGAAAAGAAACTCTTCAATAGGTGATTAAGTGTAATTACAGCGAGAAGTTAAATTCTCTCCAAGTGCAAACATGTAATGCCCATCTTTGTCATCATCTCGCCATAGGGGAGAGACTTTTTGAGCCAATCCCTTTTCGAAAAGACTAGCATGATCTGGGAGTGCCCTCGAAGGCCCAAAGCTCGTCACGTTTCCAACATCTTGCCCATTACACATTCCTGACTGAGCCTACACACAGCCATTCCATTCACACGCCACTAAATAAACAGTAATTCAAAAACTTATCATCCCCTTCCATCAAATTTTCCCACTTCGATGTCTCACCATAAGCAACATATTGCGGTGGGGCCAAAATAACAGATTTTTATCATCCAAATGAAAACAAGGTTTTAAGCAATCAACACAATTCATAATAGAGATTAAAAAAAAACACATTAACAATATATAATGAAAATTATCAAGAAATTACCAACAATTCTAACATGCTTCTTTCTTATAAAGATAAGAAAATCATAATTCCCCTAGGGTAATTCAAAAGGATTATCAATTCACCAGGAAATCAATTAAAAATACTTGTACCTCCCAAAAAATAAAAGATTCAGCATTTCTGAGAAAATCTCGCATAAGTCAGCAAAAGAATCAGAGCAAATACCGGGAAATTTATCGACGCGGACAGTAAATTAACCTTCCAAAAAATTGAAAAAAAAAAAAAAGGTAGAAAAGCTACCTTTTTATGAGGTTGATTGAAATCCCAAGCTAATCTAGGCCTCTTCCTGGGTCGGCGATCCATGCGAATGTGAGGAAACTCTGTAACATAATCCATCTCCATCTCAATCGGAACCCCAACCCTTTTTTTTTTTTTTTTTAGAGTTAATCGGATCTCTAAGGAGAACGATTTGTGCGTTTGTTAATTTTGTATGAAAAGGGCCAAAAAAAAAAGAAAAGAAAAAGAAATAGAGCTTAATCTCCGTTGTATGAGCCGTTGAATTTTGTTCTGAGAATCAATCTGGACGGTTCATTTGTTTAGTCATGTCGTTATTCTCTTGACCATGGTCGATTAACTATAGTTATAGTTCTAACCGCGGTTGAGTTTAGTCTTTCTCCGGTTTTCTCTCTCAGTTGAGGGAATAAGGAATTGGAATAGGGGAATATATCCGGAAGTATAACGTTTTTATTTGATTAAAATAACAATGAGGTCTATTTCCCTTTGCAGCGACAATTTTGCTGGATTAGTAAATTACATATATATATATATATATATATACTCAATTACTGAAGTAATAGATAATCTTGGAACCTTTTCAACGTTAGTTTGCAAATTTTATGAGTGGAAAATAAAATATAATGGTTTTATAAACAGAAGACTACATGAAAAGAATAAATTATGTCGTAGAAAAACATTTTACAAACCACATGGGCTATGTAATGATGTAATGTAAAGAAGATTTAGGCTCAGTTTGTTTTGAAAATAATAATAATAATAATAATAAATAATTTTGATAATTTTGATATTTATTTAAGAAAAAATTAATTAGTTAATGATAAATAATTTATTTGTCAATAGAAATTAAGATCATTTATTTTTAAAATTATTTTTCGTTTTTCATTATAAAAAGATAATTTTCAAAAAATAATTATTTATAAGTAACACCACTTACCAAGCTCGTGAGTAGAGTTTAACTTAAATCATATCTTAAATATAATTTTTTAAGCTCAAGCCTAATTATACTCATCTCAGAATATTATTTGATTAATAAAAATATTTTATTTAAATTCAATTAAAATATAAAAATATTAATATTAAATTTTTTTTAATATTTTAATTTTAAATATTTTTATAATTTTAATCAAGCCGAACTTTAGATATATTGTTTATGTTTGAACTTAATTTCATCTGATCCTAAATAATATTATATTTAATAAAAATTAGTTTATTTGATTTTAATTAAAAAGTATCAAATTATTAAAATATTAAAATTTAATGTTTTCTAATATTTTAATTTTAAATATTTACATTTTGTATATTATTAAATATAAATATATTTAATATTTCAATAATAAATGGTATTATATTATTATTTTAATAGTAAATAATAAATATTTATATATAATTATTACATTAATAGAAATAATATTTCTAGAAAAGTAATGCTATTTTAAATATTTTAAAATATTAATCGAAATGATAATAATTTAATATTAAATATTATTATTAAAATAAATCATACTTCTAATAATATATAATTTTGAATATTTTAATAGTTATGTTAATATTATTTGAATGAAAACCACTTATTTGTGAAGGCTAATTATTGTTATTGTAGGTTTATTATGTCTAACAACAATATTAATTATTTTGTACACCTAAAAATTATTTTATTTGGATAAAATCTTATCATTTATATTATTATGGACATAGTTCGTAACTTTTGTAAAATTATCTTTTGTGTAGAAACAATATATAAATTATTTTATTATATTCTAAGTTTGTAGGGTCTTGTTATAATGATTTTATTGTGTTATATTTGTTAATTATTAATTGTTATTTTATATTTATAATTATTATTATTATTATTATTATTATTATGTAAAAGAATAATTTAAATAGTTATATGAATAACATTATTTTGATGAAAATATTAATTTTTCAGAAAAATACTTGAACACCAAAAAAAAAAAAAATTTTTATATTCCATCTGTTTCGTAGAAAATAATTTTCAAAAAATAATTTATATATTTTTAAGTGTTTGTTTGATAAAAAACTGAGAAGTCAATTTTTGGGACAAAATTGTTTATGAGTAAAATTACTTATCAATATGTTTTAGTATAAGTTTACTCAAGTCGGACCTTATATATAATTTTTTAAGTTCAAACTTAATTTAATCAAAATCAAAATATTATTATATTAATAAATAATCTTTTCTTTCTTTTCTTTAAAAAATTAAAATATCAATATTAAAAATCTTTTAAAATTTTAATTTTAAATATTTTTATAGTTATTCTCAAATAAAACTTTAAACATAATTTTGATTCGACTTAAAATATTATTATATTAATAAAATATTTTATTTAATTTTAATTAAAAAATTAAAATATTAGTGTTAAAAGCCTTTTGATATTTCAATTTTAATATTTTTATTTTTTATATTATTAAATATAAATATTTTGAATATTTAAATAATAAATAGTATTATATTATATTTTAATAGTAAATAATAACATGCTTAATAATATTTTTATTATTTTAATAATTAATGTTAAATGATATAATAATATTATTTTCTTAATATGAATGCTTTTGACAATTTCTTTTTTTAGTTTAAAATATACAATTTTATATTTTATTTATTAAGGTATTTATATTACTATTTTAATAATAAATATAAATAAAAAAAAGTTATTTGTAATGGTTTAAAGATAGATACTTTCAATATAATATATAAATATTTTAATAGTATAAATATTTTAATAATAAATACTACTATTTAAATATTAATAAAATCATAGTTGAAAAATAGTAATACTATTTTAAATACTTTAAAATATTAATATAAAGAATAATAAATAGTTTTATCTTAAGTATTTTTCAATATTAAATAATATTTTAATATTAAATATTATTATTAATATATAATTATTCTTGAATATTAATAATTTTAATAATAAACAATTTCAATATACCTTAATAATAAATAATTTTTAATATTTTAATTGTTATATTAATATTATTTGAAAAAAATAGATTTTCAAAAAACATCCAAATAACAAAAAATATTTTTCATTAACTTATCCAAATAATAAAAAAAATTTATTTTTTCAAAAAATGTAAATATTTTTCAAAAAATGTTTTCTTAAATCAATTTTTGCAGAAAAAAAAACAAAAACAAAAACAAAATCAACCAAACAATAAAAAAAATTCAGGTTTTTAGAAAATAAATCGATTTTCCATAAATTGTTTTCAAAAATAGAATTTTGAGGGCGTTAGACTTGAAAAAATGGTGAGGATTTATTTCATAAAAGCACTAAGAAATCCCATAACATTAATAAAGACATTTAATTATTATGATTACAAAAATGCTTTTTCTTAAAGTTTTACTTAGAATTAAAAAATCAACACTATTGATTTACATCAAGATTATTTTTCAAATTTTTAAATTGATATAAAAAATGATTTTATGAGTGGATCTTTTTAAAATATTTTTCCCAAATATAATTCAAAAATCTTATAAAAAGTTTAAAGATGTTAAATATAATAATACTTGTTTAGAAGCTATTAGAATTTTTTTTTTTAATTTATAGCTCTTAATCAATTTCCTTAGATACATTCCATTAGGAGTATAATATTTCTCATCTTAAAAATTCAGAAAATTAATTTATATACAATTAAAAAGGTGCCTACGATGTTGTCGTGGATAAACTTATCAATTCATGTATTTGCATTATGTAAAACAATGAGAATTTATATATTTATATTGTGTTTTATACCAAAATTACATACATAATTATTATCGATAGAAAAGATGAAATACATTTTTTTTTTATTTATGTTAAATCTATATATGTTTTTTTTACTACAATTTCAATTTGTGTCACTTTCATGTTTTTGTATATTGTTTTTGTATCATATTGTTGTGTCACATTTTAGATTATCTGATCCAATTACGGCTAAATTTTTTTTATTTTGCTATATCTATTTATCGGCTATTATTGCAAAATTTATCATATTTAAAAAGAGATAAAAGGAAAAAACCAAACAAAGATGAAACGTGTTTATCTTAATTGGCCGTTTTTCTTGTAAAATTAATCTAAAAAAATTCAGGAAAAAAAAAGTAAAAAGGGTAAATGAAAAAGTTGAAAAAAAAAAGTAAAATTGAGTTGGAAAAAGAAAAGAAAAAAGCAAACAGAAGGCAATATTTTGACATCTTATATTGATTTGAAATAAAAATTCTTAAATTAAGGTAAAAGGAATTAATTTATTAATAGAATACATATATATGTATAAAATTAAATAAAAAATAAAAAATATATTTTTGAATACACCTTAAAATAGGTCATAACAAGGCACTATAAATATGCTTCCAACCCAATCTCGTCTTTCGTTAAAAATTTATTAAGTCTCAATTCAATCTTGATTTTTAAAATAATGTATTTATTAGATTGAGATGGATAAAAATCGTGAGATACAAATTATATTGACATGTTTATCAATTGGCACATTATATTGCAAAAATTATCTTACTAAAACAATTAAAAAAATGAAAGATAAAAAAACTCAAATAAGATGTCACGTGAAAATTGTAAGAGAGAGAGAGAGAGAGAGAGAGAGAGAGAGAGAGAGAGAGAGAGAGAGAGAGAGAGAGAGAGGGGTTAAAAATTAAAAAAATTAAAAAAAAACTTATTAAGATATTACGTGGATATTCAAATTAAGTGGAGACCTATAAGATATAAATTATTTTGCCATTGCTATGAATAAGCTCATTTTATTGTCAAATTTATTTGATTAAAAAGTTGAAAGAAAAAAAAGGAAATTAAGGTGTCACATGGACATGCACCTATATTTTTTTTTTCACAAAATTTATCTAAATAAAAAATTCAAAAAAGGTAAAAAGAAAAGGAAAAAAAAGAAAAGAAACATAAAATGAAACGTTCAGCCTTAAAAGGGCAAATAAAAAATAAAATGAATCAAAATTATAAATACAAATTTTTTATTAAATTAAAATATTAAGTAATAATTTTATTATTATAATACATATATAAATATAAAATTAAAGAAATAATTTAAACTATAATTGTTAATATATAGTTAAGATAAGAAAAAATACCATAAGCTCACCTTTGACTCAGGTTAATTTTTTATGAAAAAACCTTAATTCGATCCCAAATAATAAAAAAAAATGCCCTTATCAAATTTAGGTAAATCGAAACCTATCAGTTGTGGGTTATTTTACTACCCATATCTTCGTTAAAATTTTTTCTTAAAACTTAATTCACGGTATCAATTATCTAATTAAAAAAACTAAAAAAGAAAAAAAAGAAAATAGGATGGCCCCGTGTACATATAAATTTTTTTTTAAATATCTAATTAAAAAATTAAAATAAGAAAAAAATTAAAAGATGAAAAAGCAATAAATTAGAAAAGAAAGAAAGTTGAGCTGCCACACAAGTTAGCAATGATGAACTTTTTTTACAAAATTT